CCCCCCCCCCCACAACACCTGTACAAATACACTACCAAAACGAACCAAATTCTCTACTGTTTTGGAAGAGGAAGGATTGAGAACCAGATAGCTGTCCGAGGATCAGTTAAAGGCATGAATTGGCTATACCGAAGAAGCGTATTTGTAGAGTCATTTCTTCCCTTTGGCAATTACAGTTGGCTGACAGATTAAAGGTTCTCCCGACCCGAAACTGATATACTAGTGCATATATATATACTGAAACGAAAGTGTTTACCTTCTTATGCTTAATTAAGTTGTGTCCAGCGATATCTGTCAGCTCATACGCATCATCGTCATCCTCATCTGATACGTGAGGAACCATTTTGCCTGAACGAAGGCGAATGCGCGACCCGCCTTCTCTATCCTCCTGAATTTGCTGCTTTCTGGGGTTTCTTCCCCCAGAATTACCACTTGAATTGCCAGGTTTTTTAGTTTCTTGATTCCGTTTCCTTCCACCCATTACGACGGATATTTAATGTCTGAAAATAAAATAAGACGCCTTAGTTAAGGATGTGTGGGGACGGCGGCTTTTGACTAGCCGCCAACTTCATGTATTCATCGAGGCTAAATCTATAGAGGATTAATAGAATTGATTGATTGATGAAGATTAAGCACCCAAAAGGTGACACGGGCATGAATAGCCCGTAAGTGGTGGCCCTTTGGAGCCATTACCAGTATCAAGAGCTGATACTGGAGATCTGTAGAGGCGCGACTGCACCCTGCGTGACGGGAGATGTCTCCCGTGATTAATTAATAGAAGTAAATATTAATAATTTATATTTACCTCTATAAATTTAGGTAAATAATCAACTTTATTTAAGCTCAGAAATTAAAAAAAAAGGTTTACTTTTACGCACCTCAGTTAAGTGAAATTTTCTCCAAAACTTGACTAAAAAAAATATTAACAAGTCAAACAAAATAAAAAAAATGAGTTAACAGTAATAAAAACATGGAATAAAGCAAGAGACATACTGTACAGTGCAGTATTGACAAAGAGAAAGGTTACTGAAGACCTAGACTGGGAAAACTTGTACCCATCATGGTTTTGGCATATATCCAAAATACTCCACAACCTTACCAAACCATTTTTATCAAAATTGCTAGGATGAGAAGGCTAAATGTTAATATCAGTCAATACAAAATGTTCAAGATTTATTTAACCATCTCTTGATTATGTATTTTGTAAAATTATGGAAAACTTAATGAATTTAATATTGTTCATAAAAGCTGCAGCTAAACACGTATTATCTCAACTGCAATGCAAATCTGAGCTACATAAATAATACAGTAATATATATTTGTAGATCACAGCCATCTGTGCAAGGTATTCTAAGCTTATATGGCAAGCAAATTCCATAAAAAAATACTATGAATGGTGTCAGCGAGTCTGAAATTTAGTCTGTTTCGGAAATGTATTTTTATGGAAATTAAGCCACTTGTATGTATTTGGGAAACAAGAATACTGTACACAGAAAGAATGAGGGCAGCCTCCATTCTTTCTGACACATTCTTGGGGGGTTGTCCTCATTCTTTAAACATTGTTTCCCAGTAGAAACAAGTGACAACCGCTTCACTCTATATCCATCAACCACCACATACGATGTATCTGACTAATGTAGCGGCAGATGCTCTTTCAACTCTTCAAGGTCCCACAAAGGTATTGTTGGTGAAACGCCAGATAAACATTCAAGATAAGTGCCTGACCAATCAGGCCTAAATCCAAATACAAAAGGAATATCGCGTGATAATAAATTAGTGGATTTAATTATCCTTATAATAGCATTATCAAACAATTTTACGAGACTTTAAATTATGTTTATATCGAGTCATATATTAAATGAATGACAGTACATCATGGATTTAATTTTCAAGATGCGTCTTGATTAAAACACGAGAATAATTACATTGACTTGAATAGCAGTAGTATGTATGATACAAACTGAATCATTAAAACGTTGAAAAAAATCATTCATTTTTATTAAACCTGTATAAATACCAATTATCTCATCATACCCGGAAATTGAAACCAGGACCAAGAGGGGGGTAGAAATAGCCTTAAACTTGTAACCAATGACAAAAGTTTTTTTTTGCATTGTTGACATGCAGTATTAAAATCAAAACAAAACAAAGACCAACACACCATTTAAAATAGGCAACAATAATAGAGATTTTGTGAAGTACAGCCACAAAAGTTCACAACAAAAAAATTGGCAGTCTTTCAACAATTAGTATCATAAACTGCAACTTTCTAACTATAAGGTCAGGTGGGGTGATAAAGAGATCATGTGCTGCCTCCCAATGCATTCTCCATATTGCATGGGCAGCAGACTTATAATTGGGTGAGAAGTTGGGGTCGGACAGCTATGGGCCACATGTAGCTTTACCCAAAATAATAGGAAGAAAGCCTCTTGAACTGTATAGTGAGAGGGAGGGAGAAGGAGAGAGAAATAAAAAAGAGAAGAGAAAAAACGAGAAAAACACGAGAGAGAGAGAGAGAGAGAGAGAGAGAGAGAGAGAGAGAGAGAGAGAGAGAGAGAGAGAGAGAGAGAGAGAGAGAGAGAGAGAGAGAGAGAGAGAGAGAGAGAGAGAGAGAGAGAGAGAGAGAGAGAGAGAGAGAGAGAGAGAGAGAGAGAGAGAGAGAGAGAGAGAGAGAGAGAGAGAGAGAGAGAGAGAGAGAATGAATGGGATGGGATGCAGCGTTTGCCAGGGGGTGGGAAAAGTCAGTAAAGTATTGAATAAAGTAGTGAAGAAACGCATCCCCCTTGATTCCGCATCTTAATTATCAGCGAGAGCATTGATACATATCATTACCCGTTTAATTAACAATATTGCTATGTATGATAGAACAGTGTCGTATTCACAGAGTGAAGCAGTAAACAGTTGATTTACCCCGACATGTACTGTATTTGAACAATTTCACTTGCCTTGTGATACTATTTAAAACCCACGTAGCTACTGATGGCATAGGATCCATTCGATATGTTCCTGTCTCCCTTGCCTTGTGATGCGCTCGTCTGGACTCATGTGGCTATTGTTGGCGGTGGCTTGTATTCGGCGTGGCCATAGAGACGAAGGCAATGCTCATACCATGTTTAAGGTACAAGTCTATTCTACGTACCGATCAAGTATAAGGACACATAAATTATCTCATCATACCCAGGAATTGAAACCAGGATCAAGAGGGGTAGAAATAGCCTAAGCTACTCTATCCATTTGAGATGTATTTTATTGTCTCAATAAACGTACTTGAACTTGAACCAGGATCAATTGGGTGTAAGCTGAGTGTACTGACCACTGCTTCTCTACCTTAGACCTGAAATTTTGATATGATATTGGCTGACTAACACCTTCCATTTCCCCCCTGACTTTTTTATATCGATATTTTCAAGTTGCTTACACAGAACTTCAGCTCTTTTTCAACCCCCAAATTGAAATCTTGTCTGAGCCCTTGGTCTTTGTTGCATCTAATGCTATCATCTTGAGGTTATCTTGAGATGATTTCGGGGCTTTAGTGTCCCCGCGGCCCGGTCCTCGACCAGGCCTCCACCCTTAGGAAGCAGCCCGTGACAGCTGA